ACACAAGATGTACGTGGTTCACCTAGATTGGCTACATCCACGGAGTAGAGGAGTTCTCATTAATTGTGAAGGGTTTACACAAGTACATAGGTTCAAGCTCTCCTTTAGTGAGTACTAATGAATGATTTAGTACAAATGACATTAGGAAATATTGTGGGAGAATGATCTCCTTTTATAGAGTTTCTAGCTTTGTTCTGACATTGACACGTGTCATGTTGTGATTGGCTTCTGATGTTGACACGTGTCGCGCTATGATTGGCTTCTGATGTCAACATGTGTCGCACTGTGATTAGCCTCCTGGTTGGAGGGAAACTCTTCTGGGTCCTTGACGGTATAACGTTGACCGGTGCTCAGTAGTTTTGGGATTGGTCAAGTATGGTACAAACATAGTTTAATTTAAAACTAATTCAAATAACTTAATATAAATTCTCAAAACTAAGATAAAATCTCAATCATGAAAATACTTAAATTTTAATAATTTCCGAAAACCAAAACTTAAAAGTTCTCAATTAATGTCTCCATAACCAGGGCCGGTCCTGTGTTTTTGGGTGCCCAGTGCGAAAGCTCAAAATGTGGCCTTTTTTAATACGGAAACATATGTTTAAAAAAAATATTTAACGAGGGCTGGAACCCAGTCAAAGCTGGGGGGGCTAGGCCCTCACGCCCAAATTATATTACTTGAGAAAATATACAACGGGGGGGACATAATACCTAAACCCCGACAATCAAAAATACAATCATATACAACCATTCCTAGCAAAACTCATTGAAATTTCAACCTTTAAGAAATTGTCTTCTGGCATTTTTTGAAGCAAAATCATCAATTATATCATCATACTCCAAGTCTTCAATCTCATCCTTTTCAATGCATAAGATTGCTAATCCATTTAGCCTATCTTGAGTCATAGTGGTCCGCAAGTAAGATTTTAATAATTTCATTTTGAAAAACTTCTTTCTGCAGATGCCACGGTCACAGGTACAGTCAACAGTACACGATAAGCAATCAAGACATTAGGACACATGTCAGTTTCTTTTACAAAGTTTGCTATTTCCATGGTTGTCCAAGGGTTATTAGAGAAAAATGCTTCTTCAGGTAACATCATTTGCAACACCTGTAACTCGGAACATAAGTCGGCTCCATCTACATCCATGGTATTTCCAAGTTTCAAATGTGCTTCAAGATTCATACAATTTTCTTTTAGTTGTTGATCATCCAATGAAATCAACTTCGGTGCATCAAACAAGAAGCCAAAAAATATATTCAAAAGCCTTTAACTGTTCAAACCTGTGTTTCAGTTGAGAAAGAGCAATATCCACTATAACAAGAAAATAATCTGTTCTAAATGATTCTTCAGCAGACTGTTGTTCCCTCTCATTACCATCAATTTCATCATGATGTCTTTTTCTAGGTCTATAACGTTTAGTTTGAAAAACAGGGTCAATTTCCGATTCAAGTGCAATTTCTTTAGCATCACGCATGGCAGAAGCAAAACCAGTTTCTCTGTAGTTTTCAAAAAATGTAACAAGTGCTTCCAAAGCCTTTACAGCAACATCAAGACGCATGTCTTCAGATTGTAATTTTTTGCTCACCATGTTAATCTTCAACAAAATGTCATACCAAATAACCAAACTTAATACAAAATCAAAACTGGAAAGTTCTCCTGATGCTAAACATTCTGCATCCCTACTCAATTGGGGATTCTCAGTAATTTCCACCAACGTAAACAAAGCGTTTCTAACTTGGGCTACTTGGGATTTAATTGCTTTAACACTTTCAATGTGACTTTCCCATCGAGTAGTTGACAATGACTTCAAAGTTAAACCATCAATATGTTCAAGCAAAATATTCCAACGCTTTGTAGAGTTGGAAAACACCGTATATATGCATTGACTTGCTCCAAAAAAAGATTTTGCTTTAAGACATGAACTTGCCATATCACAAACTATTAAATTAAGACAATGAGAACCACATGGCATGTAAAATGCTCTGGGATTTATGTCTAGCAATCTTTTTTGGACACCTTGGTGTTTCCCTCTCATGTTAGATCCATTATCATAACCTTGTCCCCTCACATTATCAATATCAAGATCAAGAGACTTTAGGACATCTTGCAACTCATTAAAAAGTTCTTGTCCTGATGTATCTTCCACACTTAAAAACTCCATGAAATACTCCCTTATATTTATTGACCTACTTGACAAGTCAACACATCTCAAAATTAAAGTCATTTGTTCCACATGACTTGCATCAGGAGTACAATCAAGAATGACAGAAAAAAATTTGGCTTCTTTTACCTTTTTAATGATTGCGGTTTTGACTTTTGAAGCTAAAGTAGCTATCAACTCATTTTGAATTTTATGACTCAAATAGTGGTGATGAATCTCTTTATTCTCAATGAGTCGAAAATGTTTTTGCATTATTGGATCAAACTCCGCAATCATTTCAAGTAAACCTAAGAAGTTTCCATTACAGTCTTCATAAGGTCTTTCATTTGTTCCACGAAATGCTAAATTACGTATAGCAAGACATTTCACAACAGCAATAATTCTAAGCATCACTTGTTTCCAATGATTTGTCTCTTTCTTGATTCGCATTTGAAATTCTTTATCAATTGTCTGATTTGTTGTCAATCTACTTTTCAACTCAACCCAAGTTCTCAAATTAGTAAGATGTTCTTTACTCTTTTCATGTTGGTCAAGCTTCACACCAAGATGTCTCCAATCACTAATTCCATCTTTTGCTAACTCACTTTTTGAGGCAATTGTTTTAAACAATTTACAACAAAAGCAAAAGACTTTATCCAACTCTTTTGAGTACACGAGCCATTTCCTATCATAAATTTCACCCGTTGGTAATTTTCGATCATAGTAGTGTGAGGAAAATTTTCTAGAGAGTTTGTCCTTAGGATAAGTGAGATTAGTTTCTCGAATTGGCCCATTTTCTACAAGCAAGTCTCTCATTTCTGCATTAAGACCATCCCAAACTCTTGGATCATAAATGTTTATATGGAAAATAGGTTCAGGAGATTCAATATTTTCCTCTACACCAATATGATCATCATCAACATTTAAATCCACATCACCACCATTTTCATGGTCTTGAGACTCATCACCAACATTTTCTTCTAAATCACTACCATTTTCATGATCATGAGACTCCCCAATAACATTTTGTGGCTCTTCACCAACATTATTTTCTCTCAAATTTTCAACTGACTCATTATTTGTAGAGAAAAATTTATTAAGAGATCCTCTTAAACTTTCGGCAATTTCGTTATCCTTTGCCTTTTTTTTTTCTTTTCATATTACCAGAGAGTTGTTTCCTAAAAGACATGGCTTCGATAATTTGTTTGCAAAAATTACCTACACATGATATAACAAAATTTTCCCATCAAAATTATCATTCCAACACATTATATATTATAAAAACACTAACACATAGTCAAACATATTATAAAAAAATTGAACCTAAAATTGGGTTTGAAATGAAATCAAATAATTCAATAATCAATTAGTCAAGAATTCAATTCATCATTCATCAACAACAATAATTCTATACATCAATTATCAATTTATCATATAATTCTATATCACTTGCATTGCAAAATTTTATATTAAATTATAAATTAAGAATTAAAATTTTAAAAATTTACCTCAAAACTAATTTTGTCTTTGCGCTTGAGAGTTTGGAGCAACCATTAAAGCTTGTAGCAAAGAAGTTGGGATGGCTTGGGATGGCAGAGCAAAGCTCCAATGATTCAAGAGAAAGAAAAATAATGATTCAGAGAAAGAAAAAAAAGGGGCAGGGAAGGCAAAGTGAGGGATGTAGGGAACAAAAGGGAGGTGGGTGGGGGGGTGGGGAATCGGGAAAGGGTGGGGAATCGGGAAAGGTTGTAGTATATTAGTGATTAGGGTTTGATTGGGACCACTGGTCCCTGTTATGTTTTGTTATGTTTTTTTTTTTTTTTTTTTTTTTTTTTTTTTTTCTTCTAATCTGTGGCTGGGTCTTTCTGGGCCCTTTTGTTGCCTTTTGGGCTCTTGCCAACCCCTATTTGGGCTGTGAAATTTTTTTTTTAATACTTAGTTATATGAGTTTTTTTTTATTTTGGTGCCCTCTTCATTTTGGGGCCCTGGACAGTTGCCCCTGTGGCACTGGGCCTGGGCCGGCCCTGTCCATAACCATAAATCGATTCATTTCCACTTTTCTCCACATTTCATAATTATGAATTAAAATTCATATATTTAAATTTTCAAGGTATTATAGGTCGACCCGTGGGATTAAAACTAAATTTTACCACCTATAAATGCCCTACTCCTGGCACCAATAGTTCGTATGGGCAACAATGGTTAACCTGTGTGATTAAAACTAAACCCCACCCCATAGAGATAACAGCTTATATGCTCTACCCCTGAGACCAATGCTTCTTGTGGGCAACAATAGTTGACCCATACGCCAAGCCCGCCTCATTTTGCCTATGCCGGTTCCGCCATACTTCCATGCACGAGCCTGCCTCTCGTTTTGCATGTCACATTTTCCGTGCGCCTAGCTGGTCTTAGTTTGCGCAACGTATCTTGCCTCGTTTTTCATGCATTTGGGTTGGACTTGTTCTACTTGCATTAAGTCCATCATGTTTTGCTTGCCTCACTTTTCGTGCAAGGAGTCCGTCTTGTTTTGCGTGCCAGAAGCTTGCCATGATTTTGCATCCACGACCCCGCCCCGGTTTATACGACGAGTCTCGCCTCGTTTTGGGTGCACCAACCCGCTTGAAAACCCATGTTTTTTTAATAAACAAATGCAATTTTTTTTTTTCACAAAATATTTTCCGTGAGGAAAATGTTACAAGGCATTTGGAAGAGGTTTTATGGTTTTTTTTTTTTTTTTTTTTTTTTTGAAAAACCGATGTCATTTACACTAAGGGTGAGGAGATGGACTTAGCCTCATAATGGGCTAGAAATAATGTGGTTCAAATTCACCTTTGACGAAAATCGAAACAATGAAGGGAAGCATCGAATTGTACCAACGTTCGTAGCCTTTCCACGTCCCTCTGTTTTTTCTTAGAGTTCAAGTTTTTCTCTCCTGCATAAATCAAACAAAGGCATTGCCTTGGTGGAGCTTAGGTTTTTCAACACTCTGCCTTCTTTCCTGGGTAAGCTCCTCCTCCTCTCATTTCATTTCCTCCTAATTAACAGTAATAGAAATATTCTGTTATTCGTACAAGAACCCATAATTTACCATTTAAATTCATCATTTTTCTCCCCCTCTAAATTTTCAGGAACAATTTTCTCTCTATCCCACTTGATTTTTATTTGTTGGGTATTTTTTAATTGTTTTTCCTGGGTCATGTTCTTATTCGGTTGTTTATATGGGTAGAGTTTATTTGCTTGATTGCTACTTCTTTTGTTTTATTGTTTTGTTTGTTAACTTGGAGGTTGCAGTGTCTGTAAACTTTTTATACTCTCGGAGATGGAAGTTTGAATCTTTTCCCAATTTATGAGTGCAAACTGCAATCCATGGACTGAAATTCTAATTTAATTATAGTCAGGTTTTGATAATTTTTCTAAACATTGCAGTATTTAGCTGTGATCAAGATTGCAGCTTAATCCTGTCTCTGAGAATTGCAACTTCCATGGTTTAGCTGTGCATTGATGGAACACAACAACAGTAGAGTGGGGGAGAACAGTTCTTCCCATTGCAATAACACGAAGAACCCGGATAGCCATAGAATTTGTTCTAGTAGAGATCCCATGCCTGGGACTGGGAGTGACCTTTGGAAAAATGAGCTTATTTGTGCTTTTGAGTTTATCCGAAGCCGGAAGAAAATAATTAGTTCAAAACCTGGTTCAAAAAACCTGACTAAACAACAAATAGATGGTGAGCAAGAGAGGGTGCGTGTTCCTTCTTACGGATTTTCTGATTCTCCATCCCAAATGGAAGATAGGAGCCAGCAATCAGGCCAAGTTCAGGATATGGAAAGGTTTGAGGGTGGTCATTGGGTTCCAATTGGGTGGGATAGGATTTCGGAAATTGTACAAACTGTGCAAGCTGTTTCTTGCTTCCATTTCGATGTGCAAGATCTGTACATTAGTATATCACTCAGTCACTCACACAGCCACACCCCAATGGCTCGTAGAAGCCATTTGTCTTACGAGATTTGGGATTCAACAGCTCATAGAAGCCATTGTCTTACTAAAAGTTCAGGTTGTTCATCTTTGGTTTATCCTTTCAACAAGAATAAACGTAGATAAGTTTTTTATTATTAATTCTATTATTATTTCGTTATTGTCTGCCATCTGCCAATAGAAAAAAAATAAAGAGAACTTTACTTTTCCTTTTCAGCAAACATCATTATGTTTTCATCATTTATTTAATATTTTATTGTTATTATATTATGATATTTGTTACAAGTGTCGGCCACTTTCGTTTAAAATAAATATAACTTTAATCATTTCTGAATACTTTATTCATTATTTAAAATGTTGGGATGAACTTTAGTGACTCAGGGCACACTACACAATGCAAGTATACAGATGTATGTTTATTCAAAGATTTTATTATGATGATAATCTTTTGTCACATCATTACTACTATGCCAACACAGGCTGCTGATACCACATAACCTGTGCGTCTATGCTTGTCATCATAATACGATTTTATCATGATTGTTCCCAAAGTAGGAAGTGTGACCACATCACATATTGTCACTTTTCATTATTAGGGCACGGTCCACACTCCATAATACAAAGTTACATATATATACACATATACTTTATCCCTATAGTCATCATGTGTAAGACTATTATCCGGATTTTGTTTTCCATTATTTGTCGCTAGTGACATATATTTAACCCAAGTACCTGTGCAATGTTTATTCATTGCCTAGTGATATTGTGATTGCCCTTAAACTATGTTGACCACCCCCTCGACTCTGATATTCCCCGAATACCAGTGACATATATTTAACCCAAGTACATGTGCAATGTTTATTCATTGCCTAGTGATATTGTGATTGCCCTTAAACTATGTTGACCACCCCCCCCAACTCTGATATTCTCCGAATACCAGGATAGACACGTGCTGGCCGACACCCAAGGGTGACGACAGCCATTAATTGATACAAAAGGTAAGAATAAGAAGTAAATAAGGGTTATGAATTTAAAATTCAAAGAATTAACAATTTAGGAACGTGTTCAGAGCATACAACTAACTAGAGCTTTAAAAGAATTAATATAAAATTGAATAAATAAAAGGATGTGGGTCCTACACCGAGAGGACTCGAATATGCCAATGCGAAAGAGTTGACGTCGGGATCGTATGCCTCGATTCTAAATCCTGAAAGGGGGCGCAAAACAAGGGTGAGTGAACCAAGTTCATATATATACATAATATGAAAACAGTTGTGAACATACTAACCCCCAAGTTTTAATAATGAAAATTACTAGCATAATAAGTGATGGATTTAATCAAAATCTTAGCATGCCAAAAATATCTCAAAAGTCATATCGCAGAATAACATTGCGGAAATCAAAACAATAAACGTATCATAAATCGTCTCGTAAACGCGGTGTGCTGCTAGAAAGATCACTGAATAAATATAACTCACGGCCCAATGCCTGCTCCGTGGTCTTTGCGCCCGTAGCCAGATATTACCAACTCCCGGCCCAATGCCTGCTCCATGTCCCTCAGCCCGTAACTAGGGATTATTTCTCCCGGCCTAAATGCCAACACCAGATCCTCGCCCCAGGCGGCATAGTGTCTACTAGGTACGCACAAATAGTTACGCCTCTAAAAAATAACCACTTCATAGTATAAAGTCATCCATTGTCTATACTATAAATAGGGGTTTCTAAAACATGTTCTTACATCCTATCGTCATCCATCGGATAGTCTACCAGTTCATGATTTTTATAGAAAATACGATATATTAAAATATAGCTCAAAATAGGCTAATAATTAATTCCTCACCAAAAACACGAGACGAAATCAATAAATTTAGTAAACAGGCTTAACATAATTCGAATCATAAATTCGTAGGCATGCTAATCATTTATGCAATTAAATTATAAAATCATGTAATTTTAGGAAGGGTCCACTCACAGTACTTCGCCGTCCAAAAGTCACGCAGCTAGCGAAGACAGAAACGCCACTATAATTGCCCATAAGCACATAAAGAGTCCAATAAATAAAACTATATAATAGCAATTGAATTTGGGAAAATAGACATTGGAAACGGATTCAGAACGTCAAATTACCCTAAGAAGGATCCCGGACGAAAACCAGAAAAGTCAACCCTAAAGTCAACGTTGACCGGGGTCAACGGTCAAATTAGGTCTAACGGGTTTTAGGCTTGAAATCCGGATTAGGGTTTAGGTTAAATAAGATTAGGATCTATTGGGTTTTGTGTTTAGGGTCCTAAGATTTTTGGGTTAAAAGGGTATAGGGTGAAGAAATGTGGTTTGGGCTTAAGCCCAAACACACACACACACCACCTAAGCACACACACATGCACGGCATGCACATGCATGCATGACATGCATATACACACACGCATGCACTACACTCACACACACACGGACGTACACCCACACACACACGTACACAACATAACACACACACACACACAGCCCATACACACCCTCAAGGCACGGCCTGCAGGCCTAGTTACCAACAACCGGGCTTTAAGCCCTAAATAAAAAGAAAAGGCCCTAAGGCCCAGTGGGTCAAAAAAATAAATAAAGGAAATAAAATTTATAATTGGGCTGGGTTTTGGTGTTTCTGGGCTGGTCCAAACACGGGTCTAAGGCCCGGGGTGCTTTGGGTGGCCTGAAGGGCCTGCGTGGTGATCGGAGGAGAAAGTCGGAGCTGCTACAGCTCTGGCCGGCGGTTTTCTAGCAAACTAGGGTTCAAACTATACATCAAAATGAAGAGGGAAGAGAGTAGAGTATTTCCATACCCTTTCTTCGCTGTGAAACGGCCGTGAGTGTTCGAAAAAATCCCTCGAAGGACACGGGTCCGCTGGGAAGTTGGGTGTGCTTCCCTGTGTTATTTCCGTTGCCAAACCTTGAACAAAAAGGGTGTAAGAAGGATCACATCATGACCATCATCATCCACAATGTTTAAAAAGGAAAGATTTGGGTCTCACCTAACCTGAAAAATAGAAGGGACTCGCCAGAGATCCTTCTTGGGTTCGTCGACCTCGCAAAGACGAGAGGGAGAGCACGAACTGATGATGATGATGATGATTACGCCGTTAACGTCGAAAATGGTGGTGTGGTGATGGGTATGTGAGTGCGTGAGTGTGGGTGTGCTCACGGGAGGACGAGAATGAGAGAGATGAGGGAGAGATAGCTCAGGTGAGAGGAAGAGAGTAACTGGGAAGTTTACAAAGAAAAACATGGTGGGCCCCACGGGCTCACCAATTAAGGCTTTAAAACAATTTTTAAGTAAAAGTGAGGTTGGGGTGTTTCATATGTCACTTATACAACATGTGATCGACCACACAACTGAATAAGTTATTTATTTATAGAAGGCACATAGTACAATATTTTGCCTTGACAAACTTTGTCAATTTGATTTATTCATTATACAGTCATACTTATACTGTCATTTATTGTCAGGAATTATTGAGCAACTAGATCCACTGATCAACATTGTTGCTGATTAAATAAGTCTACCAACTTATAGACTGATGAGCCACATGCTCATGGTGACAAAGATTCAGTCCGAACGGTGATCTCTTGTCTGACTGGACACCCACTTGCTCGGACACTCGCTTATTTGGACACCTATGTGCCTGGACGCAACTCAAAGACCCTACAGATAGCCCCGACTCGATGACCCTACGTATGGCCCCAACTCAAAGACCCGACTTGCGGACCTGATCCACGGATCCGACACATAGACCCAATATGCGAACCCGACAAACGGACCCGAATCATGTTGAGAATCAACTCATACTGAGTGCACATTGACATAAAGTAATGAGGAACACCACGAGCCGAGCTGTCTCACAGCGAGCATAGCCTCTAGCCGAGCAGCATCGCAAAGAGTATCGCCTCCAGCCGAGCAGTCTCGCAACGTGTGATACCTCTAACCGAGTATTGCTTTATGTTGAGCATTGCCTTGTGTTGAGTACTTGTTCAGGACAATATCTAGTTACTTCGGCCCACACATGGATTGGATTTGAAGTCTCCAGCCAAAAGACTCTCTTGACTGAAGACTTGGGGGACTCCAAATGTTGATGCACAAAATCTGGAGGATCTTGGACCAACGTAAATCCGACCGTGAATCACACAAACGCACAAGAACACAAAGATGTATCGTGGTTCACCCCAATGTTTGGGCTACGTCCACACTGATGTTGATTCCATTTCACTGTATGAATGTATGGATTACAATAGATCGGCAAGGGAGCTCTCTGTGGATGCAGCCCTTGCCATTTTGCTCTCTGTTTGGCTGAGAGGGTATTGCCCTCTATTGTTGTGAGGGATGTGTTTCTTCTCCTCTTAGTGAAGGTGAGGCCCCCTTTTATAGAATAAGGGTTCCCTCCCATTTTACATAAATCATGGGCTTAGGGATGAGGCCTAAAGACGAGGCCCAATATATGGTACCAACAATTATTATTATTAATATTTATAAACTTTGGTCCGCTCACACTTTTGTTGTAACATCCCACATCGGCCAGGGGAGTGAATCATGTATATATATATATATATATATATATATATCTATATATATATATATCTATATATATTCCCATCTCTACCTAGCACGAGGCATTTTGGAAGCTCACTAGCTTCGGGTTCCATCAGAACTCCGAAGTTAAGCAAGTTTGTGCGAGAGCAATCCCAGGATGGGTGACCCACTGGGAAGTTCTCATGTGAGTTCCCAGAAACAAAACCGTGAGGGCGTGGTCGGGGCCCAAAGCGGACAATATCGTGCTACGGCGGAGTCGAGCCCAGGATGTGGTGGGGGCCCGGGCCGGGATGTGACATTTGTTTTACGCCCCTTCAGGATTAGAATCGAGGCGTACAATCCCGGCGTTGAGGCATCCCCGTATCGGTATCTTTGAATCCTGTCGGTGTAGGATCCCTTTCTTTGTAATCGTACATTTTTATAATATTCTTTTTGCAGTATTTCTGATTAGTTGTATGCTCTGAACATGTTTCCGCGTTTGCATATTTCTTTAGTGGCAAGTTACATACCAATCATGACGGGCTTAGCACAAATTTCCACCTTCAATGTCGTTGTATGCAAAATCTGACTGTATTTTTTAAGGATTTTTCTCACAAATAGTTCTTAAAATTAACACATCACATCAAAATGGTTTATAAAATTAAAAATCGATCAATATAGTCTTTGAAAATAGGTGTTGTAAATCAATGTCGTTATACTTTTGTAAAAAATTATGCTATGTGTTGATATGATACATAACTAGGTTCACAAATTTAATTAAATATTATCATGTGGATTAAAAAAAATTTAATAATGAAAAAAATTTATTTTCTATATAATGAAAAACTTTAAAAAAAAAAAACAAAAACAAAAACGATGAAGATGAACAGTTCATGTATGTTCTTCTTTCCCTCCCACCTAGTAGGCTAGTACAACCACGACTGCAGAAACGATGTGTCATGCAGATCGGCGAAGAATACACAGCAGACGTTAACGAAATCAGTGACTCAAATCTCGAGCTTACGAACCATCAGAGCCTCGAGTCTCTGGCTCTGCTTCTCCAGAAATCCCAAAGCTGAGTCCCATGCCGCCGCCGCCGGGGAAGCCGAAAATCCCAACCGTACCCACTTCCCGAAGAGCTTCGTTTTCCAAGTCAGCGTTCTGGAAGCCCATGTCGAGGTACTGTTTATTTTAATAAAAAAAGACATTTTTAATCTAAAATGTCACTTTTGGTATTATTCACTTACAACAATTTTTTGTTCTTTTAATTAAAATTCAAAAATTTTAAGTTGTTTTAATTAGTTTTCCTAATAAAATATCACCAGGATAAGCGGGACCCTATTATATAAGCAACTAGAAAACATTGACAAGATGGAGGAGTTTGCTAATTAGATACTGCACCCAAATTGCAAGATAATCCAAACAGGCAAATTTGTCATCAAACAAAATTTATTTCTCAATAAATATACCAAAATTTCACAAGATCGTATCTATTTTAAGCGTATAAAATAATGTTTCCAGGCCTTCGGAAGGCTATGGATATTTAACTAAATACGATATGAAATTTTGGTGATTTTTTTGAAGTATATGAACTGTTATAAAATTTTGGTGCATTCAAGGGGATCCATCACAACGACCGACCACGAAGAATGTCATGCAGATGCTTGAAGGAACTGTTGAAGTCCCCGCCCCACCAAATCCTTCATAATTATATGCTCAACCAAAGTGATAGCATATATCATTTGTTTTCCTAGATATCGAAACATTTTTTGTCAGCCAGATAGTTCATAGCGTGTCGGCAAAAGACTTGTAAATTCTTCTCCGTTTTTTCTTTTTCTGTTTCCGTTCTATAAACAAGTCTTTGAAGCAAAACTGCCAAAAATTGATAGAATCTTTCATAGTGAGTGCTGGTGATGAATTTCCTAAGAACTGAGGGCTGATTTTATACGGATATGTAGTTAATAATATCATAGCCCTTACATAATTTGCACAAACTAAACTGAATTTGAAAAGTTTCAAATTCAAGATTGAACCTGGATTTTTTATGTTAATTGAAATTTTATGCTTCCCCATATTTTAAAATCATTTATATGCGGCATTGATTAAAACAAGCATAAACACCCGCGCTTTGCTGCAGGTTTTAAAAACACCATTTAAGAAAATACTATTTAACATAAAATAAGTTTTATATATCAATATTTACATATCTGTTGTTGAGAAAGTAAATTAGTAACATATTACCACGATCAAAAGATTAACAGCATTAAACTGCTCATTATTCAAAATATTTAGATAGACTATGAACATGTTACTGAATCTAGATTTTCCTACTTCATTGTTTCCAGCTCATCTTCATCTTCATTATGTTAAGGTTTAAGGTTTCAGCTAGTTCCTACAAATTTTGGAAAAAAAAAGGAGTTGTTAGTTTCGTACATATAAGAAAACAAAAGGGGGACATATAAGTAAAACTGAGATAGAGTTCATTTGTGATCCTGAAGGTGCAAATGAGATTTTTGTTTCCCTCTATTTTCATCTGCTCTATCAGATGCAAAAAGACTAAAATGAGTGCATTCAAACCAACACATTTTTCGCACTTCAGTCCTATATCAAATATATGTCAGTGATACTAATTAGACAGAGTAGGAGAGTTCAAATAAATCACTATAGCAAAAAAAAAAACAATCAAAAAACAAATGTCTAAGTAGAAATTAAAATAGTAAAGAAGGTATCGTTATGACGAAGATGTAATAATCTGCTGTGATTAATTTCACAAAGAAACCATATATAAAGGAATCTTGTGCAAACAATGCAACATTAGAGTGTTAAAAAGCGAATGAGGATTATATGAAGTCTGAGAGCAACAACATACAAATGAGTAACATGTAAAGTTAACATAGAGAAGACATTGATGTACAATGTTGTACTCATACATATGTAGAGTAATATATAAAGTAAGCTGGAAATGGAATTTGCTATTCTAGAAAAAATGGATTTTTCAATTTTCTCTTATGGATTTTCTCTGTATGGAGCTCTTAGTGTGGATGGTATGTTAAATTTAACTCAAAACAGTAGAACATATAAGTAAACAAATGGGGGACACATAACCAAAAGCTAAGACAGTTCTCTTATGATAGTGAGGGAGCATATACAATCCGTTTTTCGCTCTTTTTTCATCTGCTCTATCAGATACAATGTGTAAGAAATAGAGTCCATTTAAATTAGAAAGAGTTGCGTTCGGCATAATTGGACAAAGGAAAGCTCTGTATAGCAACAAAAACGTAAAACTGCTTTATAATTGGACAAGGAATGAGGAAGATAAGAAGAAACAAAGAAAAGGCCCTTAAAATTTTGGTAGAGACATTTTCAGCAAGTGAACAAAAAAAAAAAAAACAGAGGCATTTCCAAACAGAACTCAATATCAATATGCAGCAAAAAGAAAATAATGCATGAGCAAGGAAAGAAAAAAAAAATTATAAACCTGAGTAGCGACGTAGAATTCATAAGAATGCAATACTTTCCCTTCAAATGAAAACCTGTAGGAAAATAAAAAACCAAATGAAATGGCATGGCAGAAAATTGAGGGGGAAAATAAATTAAAAATAAATAAACAAAGAGGACAAATGACGTTGTCCATGTACTTAATTTCTCTCGAGTATAATGACAGCTAATATATTTCTTGACCATATGAGATCAGTAGTTGATATAATTAGTCCAACCGCAAAGGAACCCAGTTCAACGCTTAAGCCTACCTTATCATTGCATTGAAATGAAAAAGAAAATTCATATTATATCCATCCTTTCAGTCATTCATTAGATAGATGTGTTTGAATGCCACTGACACCAATGATAAATTTCATTACTCTGCACATATAAATTGTTCAGCCAAAACTATTGTTCATAAAAAATTAAAGCATCCAAGTGCATTAAATGAAGATATATCTATATGAGGAAGGCTTGTATATTATACCCATGTCGATATGGATTTGGGAAAAATGAAATTTCAAAAGCTAATCATCAAAATTTTTTACTTCCTATGTTCTTGGGGATCATTACAATTTTTCTTGTCCTGAATTTGAACACCCTTGAAACTGAATTTCAAAACTACAAACTTAAATCAAAGCTCTTAGTTTTAATCCAAAAATACTTAACAACAAAATAAAATCACACCTCAAGCTGCAAGTTGAATCAAACCTGTGGAATGCCAAAAGCACCCACCTCAAACACAGAGGTCTTCGCAGGCTTCAAAGAAAAGTCACAAATTCGAAAAATCCGATCTCCTGAAACCGAAAACAAAACCAAATTAACCATCATCAGCCAGAATCCGAAGCTACAAACAAAATCCCCAAAATCACAACCAAAATATTTGAACAAAAAACCCATTTATAAATCCAAATTTACACTCCCAAGCACATAACATTCAAACCAGAGAATTACTCATTTAGAAATCCTATCTCATATGTATTAAAACGATTAACAATTCTTAGTGAATCGTCACAAAATAGGTATAAAAAACTAACCATGTTTCTGAATTTTAAAAATGGGAAACTTAGAGAAAGAGTACTAAGTTTTCAGTTCTTGCAACAACGAAAACTACCATATCTTTTCATTTTGAACTGGGATTGATTTCTGTCATCAGCATTAACAAAACCTGTAATTTTAGCATGTACTAATAAAATGATACACATCAGAGCAAAATTTTGAAATCATAACCAAAATTTAAAACTAAAAACCTAAAAACACAAAATTCTTACCATTTCGTCAATGAATATACATTGAAGACCGCCAAACGTATTATCCTTTCCTATAACCTTAGGTCTCCAAATTCTGCATACACAGACTCTGATCTTCTTATTAAACTGAAAAGGTAATAAACTTCGGATAGGATCTATCTTCATTCCGTTACAAAAGTGCAAGTAAATTTACATGGCATTAGATGTCAGTTGCCCGGGGCGCTTGTTTTATTTTCTTGATCCCCTTTAAAATAAGATTTATAAATGCAGACATCTAAAATGATAATAAGCAGAAAGAATGAAACAGAGAAATTGAGGATGAAATTGAGCATGAAATAAGCAGAAAGAATGAAACAGCTAAGTTCTAAAATGATAATAATTACACAATAAACGAAATAGCGGAACGAATCAGCAAGCTATAACTTCAAGGACTACTAAAAGCAAACAGTCACTGTCCTATAGGACTTGTGTCTTTATTGAATATAAAATACTATTCATAACATACTCAATTTGTTTGCTTAAAATTTTGCTCTATTCATTACATATATGATCTGGTTTTGGTGTGTGTAGTTTCACAATAATCAAGTTTTTGAGAATGTTTAAAGTATTTTTTTCGCATAAAACATCATACATTCTTGACATCCAAAACTTATAGACTGAGGGCAGGATCAAACCAACTAATTGACAATAATTACTCTATCATCATTCAGGAGCACATACTCAAATTAACATATGAGCGCAGATCGATCCAGTTGGACTTGACTATCCGAGGACTTCAAATCCTGCTGATCAGATATAAAGAACTCATCCATTTGTTAAGAGTTGTATATATATCTATTATATGAAACCATAAATTATAAATTGAGGACTTTTACTCTGTAATTTGTAGTATAATTAATTAGCTTGGAAAGATGGAGAAGAAGGTGAATGCTACCTTGTTTTGTTTTCTGGTGAAAGCTAGCTAGCTGCTTCATCTGCAACTGACTGTAATCAGTGAGATTGATGCACCAACACAAACCATACATTTGATTCCCAAACAAAACCCAGAATCTAAAATAGTAAAAATGGTAAGGAATATTGCGGATTAACGTCGACTTGCTCAATCGCCTTCACCAAGCTAGCGTGATCGTACAGATCACCCTGTAAATTAAAAAAAAAAAAAAAAAACACACACACACACACACACACATGAAACCAAAAATAATTTCAGGGAAATTGATAGATAATCAAATTTATTTGAAGAGATGAAGAGGGTAACCTACTTTACTACAATTTACCTCTACCAAGTTAAATGGAATATACTCTGATGGAGCAATATTTCTTCAATTAATCTACCTTGGTTGGGCAACTATGACTGAGTTTTGGGTTGCGGATTTAAGATTTGTCTTTCGGGGAAAGGAGGAGGATTCTAGGTTGGGGAAAGCAAGGAGCATGGAGAAAAAGGAGGGTGCCCAAAAAAGCAAAATGATTTCTAGGGTTTGATAGAGCCTGCAGCCAGTTGAAGGAGGATTGAAGCGGTGGAAAGAAAGCAACGAAACCATGAGAGAAGAAAATTAAAAGGGAATGAAACCGTGAGAGCAAGATTGAAGCAGTGGAAAGGATGAACATTGAGTCGAAGAGAGAGAGGGAAGAAGCAGCGAAAACCCACGCGTCCCATTTTGTTCTCCGTTTGACAACAAAGAAATAGGGGCAAAGTTGGAATCAAAGAAACTAACTGAGGGCATTTCCGCCCTTTCACTGTTGGTGAACAGTGCTCCTACTCACATGATGAACAGTGATTTTTTGCTAAGCTTTAGTATATATAAATGTGTGCAGAAAGTTCCAAAAAGTTCAGTGTATATATTACCCCCCAAACACTTTATTTTTTAAGACAGTTGAAGTAAAAATATACCAAACACATGTATTTTTACAATAGAACCTCGATAACTTTATACCCATTACATTGATAATTTCAATTAAATTATATTTTGGCTGGTCCCAACTTAGGGGTAACGTGTTAAATTCATAATTAGCCTAATTTACAAAGAATACATTATAAAAAATTCATTAGGTTTTAGTAACATATAAATTAGGGTAAACAGCCAATTTAGTCCCTGAATTATCACCTTAGTAAAAATTAGGTCTCTAAACTATTTTTTTCAGAAAAATTAGTCCCTGAATTATAAAAATCTGCCAATTACATCCCTTATGTTATATTCGAAGTTACTATATTCAATTTTTCGTCAATTTAAGTCACGTTACTTGCATGTGATACACATTAGAGGGTAAATTGATAGTTTTTCATAAAGAAATAATGTATGGAGTTAACTTTGGAGGATAAATTGATAGTTTTTCATAAAGAAATAGTGTAAGTTAACTTTTGAGGGTAAATTAGACATTAAATTCACAACCTATATGAAATGTTAAGGGCTTATAGACAAGAAAATGATGGTATTACACTTTAAAGTGTGTCAAGTGACTTAAGTTGACGAAAAATTGGATAAAATAGCTTTGAATATAATAGTAGGGATGAAATTAGCAATTTGTAATGAATTTAGGGACTTATTTTACGGAAAAAAATAATTCAGGGACCTAATTTTCACCAAGGTGATAGTTCAGGGACTAAATCGGCACTTCACCCTATAAATTAATAATTTTCTGATACATAATGGCCTTCCTAAAATATGACTTAATCATTGTTTGTTTAGACATCTTCTGGAGGCAAGGACTAAAAGCACCTCTAAGAAGAAGCATCAGAAAGAAAAATATTGTTAAGCTGCAAGTTTCTTGCCCACCACCACACATCCACATGTTTCCTATGGTGTATAAGTTATGCTTTTGTCTGCAATAACTTCAAAGTCGTCTTTATTTTTTTAATGTTTTAGTCTTTTGCATTTAGAAATGGCACTGAGAATAAAATAAGAAACAAGAGACCTTAATTATGAGGTACGTAGGACTAAAGTCATGGAACTTTGGAATTAATTGATCTGCCTTTACACTGTTTTACCTGGTTAAAGGGTTTATTCTGATTTCTTACAATGTCGTCAAACCTGAAGAAGAGAATTTTTCCAGGGGCAACGGAGACGTTAACGGCATGTTTACTTATGAGAAATGGGTATGTAAAGTGTGTTTACATTAACGACATTATTATTATTATTCTAACCTTTCATTTTTACCAACGCAGGAATGAAAAAGTAAAGTAGTCATCTTGAAAACTAGTTCATATACCTGAAAAGGTACGTACACACATTCCCTAAATTGATCTGGCAAAACTTCCTGGTTCTTGTGTAAGTTTTCATACAAGAATGCTAGCTAGTGTAGGAAGTTTATACGGACTGCAACTGAACTTACAAGTGATTATGCTCAAAAGTCTGAGTAGTCGATCCTGACAAAACCCTAAGTCATTGAATGGTAGAATTTTACGTATGACGTTAATTACCTTGAAAACTCGTCTAATATGGTTTCTAATCCAAACTTTAGGAAAGTTAGATTGTTGGTATGCAGCAGCTATATGTGGATAATTAATATATCTTTTATTTCTCAAAGAAAAATACACTTGATTAGCACACAAAGTGATCTTTAACATTGGAGAGAAACTGAAAATATGCATATCGCCATGACCGGCTCAAAGCTAAAGGGCCACAAACTCCTAAAAATCCTACAATGAAACCAAGAGCCACAGAAATACGAAACCATGGAATTTCATTCCCATTTCCTTTTACATCTTCCATGTTCTCAGTTGTATTATTACTTGTATTCATCTGTCCGCACTCGTTTGGAAGCGGGGAGCCACAAAGTCCAGGGTTACTCTCAAAGGCGGTGGCACCGAAGCCTTGGAGCTGCGTGCCGGTTGGTATCGATCCTTCTAGATTATTGTACGCAACACTAAATGAAGCCAAGAAATTAAGACTTGACAGTGATGCTGGGATTCCGCCAGATAGATGATTTCTTGAGAGGTCTAATGTCTCCAAGTTTTTGAGGTTTGATATTTGGTTTGGAATATTGCCGGAGAAGTTGTTGACGCTAAGATCCAATTTTTGAAGATATTGCAATTGGCCAATCTCAAAGGGTATATTGCCACTTAGACTGTTGTTCTTGAGGGAGATTGCTCTTGGCATGCTGGATGGATACTTGTACTGTGAAGAATGTAAAGATGAATTATCATCGCGTAGGAAGTAGATGGGAAACTCAAAATGATAACCCTGGGCTGTTTGATTTGGAGCATATTGCGATACCAATGCTTGTAGTCTGCAAAGCTCCTTCGGAAATTCACCTGAAATCAAGTTATTATTCAACCATACAAAGAAAAGACTTGGAAGATTCCCCAACCAACCAGGTATTGAACCAGTGAGTCTGTTAAAAGACAAATCCAGGACTTCCAGTTTCTTGAGCTTCGAGATCCATGCAGGTACTTGACCTGTCAAGTGACAGCTATATAAACTGAAAACACAGAGATTATGTAACCCATAATCAACAATGATATTCCCGTCCGGCATTTCTTCACCTTGAAAAGTTTTAGAAAGGAGGAGTACCCTTAGACCTTTGAAATGCTTCAGTATTTTCATTGCCCCCTTAACGTTGGTGAATCTGTTTTCAGAAAGCGAGAGGAAGGACAAGGATTTCAATGAAAGAATCTCAGGTTGTATTTGCCCTTCAAGATCATTTGTAGCCAGTCGAAGTGCTTTGAGGGATTTGCATGAGTAAAGGCTTATCGGAAAGATACCAGTGAACGTATTATATACAAAATCGAGTTTACTAAGTTCAGTAAGTTTCGAGAAATCAAGTGCAGAGATATTCCCACTAAAACGGTTGAAGCCCAGATTTAGTTCAATAAGGTTTGTGCAATTCAACAATGATAGGGGCAGCGGACCTTCTAGATTGTTGTAGTGAAGCAGCATGAGCTCTAATTTGGAGAGCTTCCCAATATGGAGGGGAAGTATGCCCCTCACCTGATTAAAGGAGAGGTCCATGATTCTGAGATTGGTAAGGTTTAGAATGTTTTCACCAATGGGGCCGGAAATCTTATTGTAAGGTAATGAAATTTCTTGAAGTGTTTGAGCATTGTAGATATCACTAGGAAGGAACCCGGAGAGAGTATTAAAGCCTGCACGAAAGACTTCCAATTTGGAACAATTTCCTAGTCCGAGAGGAATCGAACCCTTGAAATCATTGTCGGAGAAATCCAAGACTCGAACCAAAGAAGAATTAAAACAGATTGAGGAAGATATTTGGCCTGAGAGAAGGTTAAAACTCAAATCAAGGATCTCAAGATGAATCAAGGCCAAAAAGAGCCCAGCATCCACAGGACCGGAAAGCAGATTGTGGGAGAGGTTGAGGTGCGAAAGATGCGTCAGGTTTTTTAGCGATGAGAGAAACATACCTCCTTTGAGGCCTTTGGATGGCAACTGCAATCGGATGATCCGACCTCCCTGATCACAAGTGATGCCTTCCCATTGGCAACAATCAACTGAAGCAGTCCAGTTTAATGGAGGGGAAGACTGAGTGATTAACAAGGAAGAGAGAGCGTTACGTTCGGCTAGATCGCATGCATGCTTTGTAAATATAATGGAAGAAAATAAGAGGATGAGAAGGAAGCCATGAGAAATTGGATGACCCATCTTAGATTTAGATTACTCACAGCTTTTTTCATCCAAGCGTATGTATGTAGACATATACAGCATACGCGTATTAAGAAGCTGCAAGCTTATTTACTCCACAACATGTTCCTATGGCGTACATATGTGTGTATACACATATTATGATTTTGTGTACAATATATTAATGGCTTCAAAGTCGTCTAAAGATTCTTTAATGTTTTAGTCTTGGATTTGACTTTAGGAGTAGATAACAAACAAAATAATACAACAGACATGGACTTCTAGGAATTAGAGGTTGCGTTTGTTAGCACTCGTTAGTCTTCATTGGACTAGACCGGGTTAAAAATCAGTCTAGTTTCGTGTTTGTTATTCGCACGGGTTAGCTTTAATGAGATTAGCTAGGATTCACGTCGACCAAGGGCCTGGCTAGAAGGTCTTAGGCCATCTCCAATGGAGAGGGCTAAAAGTCCAAAAGTCAAAGTTCAAAGGCTGGCATCGAAGATTGAGGTTCGAAGGTAAAAACGAATTGCAAAGTTCTGTAGGAGAATTGGATTGATTTGGGTTTTTCGAAGCACAACTCTCTCTTTTGATCTTTGGAATCCAAGCAGTGAACTTTTCATCTGGGGATTTTCTAGTTTTCTAATTTCAACGATATGTTGTTGTGGTTGCAAAAAGTCCGAAAACTAGTAGAGTTTCTTTCACTCTGTGTCTTTGAGAGCTCAAAAGCCCCTATTTCTTTCCGACATTTATAGCTATTTCTTTATTTTGCTTCTTAGTTCGACACTGCACCAAATGTTTCACTAACTTAATACAACTTATTTTATTCTAAGGCAGTCCATCCTAGTCATTGAAATTAATCCAGTCTAAGATAGTGTAACGACCCGTCCTCAAATATTTCTTTTATTTATTTATTTTAATGTGTGAATTTACCAAAATGCCATCTGAGGCAAAAATGTTAACTTTTGTTGACCGCCTCGTATCACGTAAGATTCGTTTCTTTGGCGTATCATTGTAGTACTCGTCGCTACAAACGCGTGGGCGCAAGCGGAACGTAATTCGAAATTATAACGAAGATTTTATGAAGCTTGAAATGACGAGGGTATTTTGGTCAATTTTCATTTGAAACACATGTTGTATTGGGGTTGTGTGCCACGTGGGACCCACAGATTGGTCCCTAATCTTCTGGAACTCTCTCCCTCTCATTTCTCTCCTGTGACTTTTCTCTCTCTACTCTCAAAGTTTTCTCTCTCTCTCATACATTTTCTTAGCTTTTTCATTCCTTTCTTTGCACCGCAGGCGAGCCACATCACCATCACCCCCAGTTTGTCCCATCTCTTTCCCCAAAACAAGAAATTTAAACTAAACCCTCATGCCCACACTTAAACCGGAGAAACAGATGATGGAGAACTCCAGCGAGTTCTCAAATCTTTCTGGCAGGGTAAGACTCGAAAATACCTTCGATCTTTTCCTCTTTGACATTTTGATTCAATTTTTGAGTTGTATACATGTTTTGGTGACAATCTAACGCATAAATCAACTCGGGAAGACCTCCCTCGGTTTTACGGCCACTGACGTGATTTTTGCAATCGATTATCAGCCCTTTTCGACCACCTATTTTACTTGGGTAAGGTAGATTCGACTCCCTCGTCTTTTCATCTTTATTTGGTTTAATTTTGGAGTGAAATGGTCAAAGATCGAGCTCTATCGAAGCTCGGGAATTTATCCCAGCCAAACCAGCTAGAAATCGACAACCAGACCTGCGATGGGGACCGGGTCAACCCGAACAGCAACCCAAAACCGACCCAACCCAGCTGATGGGCCCAATCCAATAACCTGGCCCAAACATTTGGGCCATGTAACCCAACCCATTAACCCAATAACTCAGGCCCAACCCAGCAACCCAAAACCCGGATCCGACCCAACCCAACCCAGCAACGTGTGGAGCACACACGTCTCCACTGAAGGTTTTATGCTCCACCGCCATCCACGGCGCCGCCGGTGAATTTTCAAGCGACCTATCTCGGCACTTGCAGTGGCGCGTGGTCGTCTGGGCCGCCGCCCCGTGGAGATACGTGGGGGAACCCAAGGTCCCTCTTTAGGTTTTTCGATGTGCCGAGTCCAAATCCACTGTCCATTTTCCTAAATTCTATCGTTTTAGTAGAGTTTTATTAAATGGCCTCTATTTGTGTTTAGGTACGTCGGTGGGAAGTGACACTGTCCTCGCTAGTTCGAGTGGCTCCTCGACAATGGAATACTATGAGTGGAGCCCTTCTAAACTTGCATGTTTTTATAAAATATTAGGCTTGCATGCATTTCATATTTTATGACTTGATTACATTTTATGATATATTTTACGGATTTCTGGATTTATGCTTTATGAAGAATTCATGATTTATTAATATTGCTTTTATGCATTATTTATGATTTATCGAAATTAAGTTTTACCAAATATTATGAATTATTGGATTTTCGTCTCTGAAATTCATGGATTTACGAATATGATTTATTTATGCAGTTATGAGATGAGACTTTGAGCTTTTGAGCTCCAAATTTGATATGAGATTTTTGAGGTATGTTTTCGGTGCTTATCTAGTGGGTTATCATACAGCACATCCACACAACACGGGTATGTAGACGTTTATGGCCATAGAACACATTTGATGATATTTATGCTATACCCCCAGCTTCACTGGTGAAACCAGTGTCGAACAGCTACACTAGCCATGGCTAGTGTCGGTGTGTGATGTTATATGTATATGTTTCTTCTCTGGCATAACCCAGAGTCGTACAGCTTCACCTACTGGTGATAGGGCCTACCATGTTTCGTCACTGGCGTAACCCAGTGTCGTACAGCTTCACCTTCGGATGATGGACATGTTATGCCTTCGGGTGACTATGATACTCCTAGTGAGTACATCATTGATGAGATTTATGGATTTACCTTTGGGCGGCGATATCACCATTTTTTAGCATTGTTTTACACGTATATGTTTTATAAATGTTTTCATGGCATGTTATAGTTTTCAAAAAACCTACTATGTAGTACTATATATGTGTTTTCAAAACAAGGGGTTAGTATGTTAAAAAAGAAAATGATTTTCTTATTATTAATATTATTATTATAAATTTTGGTCCACTCACCCTTTTGTTTTGCGCCCCGCCCCCTTAGGAGTTAGAATCGAGGCACACGATCCCAGCGTCAGGGCACTTCTGCATAGGACACTTCTGTATAGGTATCTTCGAGTCTTCTCTGTGTAGGACCCATTCCTTGGTTTGTACCTTTTCATAATAAATTTTTCACATTATTCTTGATTAGTTGTATGTTCTGAACACGGTTCTGCATTAGTATATTTCTTTTTTGGGCAAAAGACTGTTTACTACCCTCATGTTTCGTGGTTTTCAACATTTAGTACATCAATTTTTTTTTGTCCCAGAGTCATACCTAAAATGTAAATTTTGGGACAGTCTTATACATCCGTTAGTCAAACTGTTAACTCTGCCGTTAAATGATGACGTGGCACCCACGCGGACAATGACTGGGCGCCACGTGTCATTAAAAAAAATAAACTATTAAAATAATTAATTAAATAAAAGTTATATATAAATTTTAAAAAAAATTCCCCAGATTCTCTCTTCCCCACCCCGATCCCCCTTCCTTCTCCCTCTGCACCTCTGCACATCCTTCCCCCTGTGGACCTCCGCTCATCCATCCTTCCCCAGGTCCCTCTATACCTTCATCTTTCCCAAAACCCCTTCGTCTTCCGCAACACACACACCCACAACCCTTCATCTTCCTCCACGGCTCCACCCCCTCCACAACCCCAATGTGGGCTCGCCCTCCAGCCGCAGTGAGTAGACCATAGCAGAGAAATTGAATTAAAAACCCACTTTTACCAAAAATTGGATAATCCAAACAATGGGGAAACAAATATGAGAATCATGATCTATCCATATATTTAAATTCCACACATTTAACCTCAAATCTAACAGATCTTATCCTCAACGATCAAAACGCACTCGAAGGATGATAAATCAATTCAATCTCTGAAAAATACTCAATCAATCACAAATTTTCACCAAAAAAATATTAAGGTTTGATGCAATAACAGCTTTAGATCCAAATATCATAGATTAATTAGGCATAATAAGAACAAAAGGGAAAGAGAGAAAGAGGGATCTGAGAACGAGACCATCGCCGTCCTTGTCGAATAGGCTGAACGCCTCCTAGAACACGGAGATCTGGTCATCGATGAGCTGATCGGCCATCGTTGAGAGCGTTTGGCTTCCGAGAAAATCACAGAGAAAGTGTCCAAATGAAAAGGAAAATATGTTTGTTGCGCCCTAATAAGACCTGAAGCAAAAAGAAATGAGGGAAGGAAGTGACTGACCCAACGACGCCTTGGGAGCTAGCGTCATCGCCGTGAACGTCGGGATGGTTCAATCGAAGAAAACTGTTGTCGCTGGCAGGCGTGGGCATGGTCTACTCACTGCGGCTGGAGGGCGAGCCCACGCTGGGGTTGTGGAAGGGGTAGAGCCATGGAGGAAGACGAGGAGAAGGTGGAGGGGTGGAGCCGTGGAGCCGTGGAGGAAGACGAAGGGTTGTGGGTGTGTGTGTCGCGGAAGACGAAGGGGTTCTGGGAAGGATAGAGGTGCAGAGGGACTTGGGGAATGATGGATGAGCAGAGGTCCATAGGGGGAAAGATGTGCAAAGGTGCAGAGGGAGAAGGGAGGGGGATCGGGTGGGGAAGAGAGAATCTGGGGAATTTTTTTTAAAATTTATTTATAACTTTTATTTAATTAATTATTTTAATAGTTTAATTTTTTTTAATTTTTTTTAATGACACGTGGCGCCCAATTATTGTCCACGTGGGCGCCACGTCATCATTTAATGTCAGAGTTAACAGTTTGACTAACGGATGTATGAGACTGTCCCAAAATTTACACTTTAGGTATGACTCTGAGACGAAAAAAAATTGATGTACTAAATGTTGAAAACCACGAAACATGAGGGTAGTAAACAG